AGAGAGAGAGAGAGAGAGAGAGAGAGAGAGAGAGAGAGAGAGAGAGATCGAGATCTTTTATCTAACACTTCCCTCAAAAGAATACCTCACAGGCAATTTGTAAATGTGGTTAAGTCATAGCCAACAGAGAAAGAGAGAGGGATGAATTTAATCTTCATTTGGTAATCCAAGCGAAAAAATACCCAGTTCATTTCTTTCTCCTCCCGTTTTCTCTGAAACTAAGTTAAATGACAGAAATTAATCAATACTGCCCTGTAACAATCAGTGAATATGCCCCTTTTAAATTCCTTCTCAAATATTCTTCCATCCAGTTACAGTAGTTCGTGACTTATGACCACAATATTTCTGTTGCTAAGTGAGACATTTGTTATGTGGGTTTTGCCCCATTTTATAACTTTTCTTGCCACAATTGTTAAGTGAATCATTGCAGTTGTGAGTTTGGTAACATGGTTGTTAAGTGAATCTGGCTTCCCCGTTGACTTTGCTTGTCAGAAGGTCACAAAAGGGTTAGGGTTAGGGTTGACCTCAGGACACTTGCAACCATCATAAATATGAGCCAGTTTACAAGCAGCCAAATTTTGATCACATGACCATGGGACTGCTGCAGTGTTTGTAATTGAAAAACTGTCCAAAATTGTTTTTTTCAGTGCCATTGTAACTTCAACAGTCACTAAACAAACTGTTGTAAGTCAAGGACTACCCATATTCCTTATATAGGATTGAGCTATAATTTTTATAGATGAATCCCTTGTGAAACAATAAGATCACTGTAATCAGTTTCTTCTCTGTGGCTGCTCTCTGTCTTATCTCACCATTCTCGTCAACATGTTAAATTTTATCAAGCTTTTGATAATTCCCTCAAAATTAACAATCAGAGTTCTCTCCAATAAATCTCTGTTTCCATGTGTGTTATATGTGTTAAGCATATATGTGTGTTATATGTGTTAAGCAAAATTTCTCTTTTTCTGCATAGGGAATCTTGAAAGCTACTAAAGATTTCATGGATATTTGCAATAGTGGTACTGATTTTTTTATGATATGTATAGATATCCATCTTTAAAAACGTTCAGTTTCCTGTATGAAAATATTGTTCTTTTAAATATTGTGGCAGTGGTGCTGTCCATGGTACATCTCTACTGTAGGTAGCTTAATGAAGTTGCAAAAGAAGATATAATTTATGTTTATATTATCAAACTACTCCATATAATTGTACAAAAATAGCCCTTTTATTGGTATTTTTTATTTATAGATTCAGTAGCACTTAACTGATGAGTTTATCTAAGGTAATAAAACTGGTTAATTGGTGTTACATTTATCAGCCCCCATGTTCATAAATGTAAGATTTGTATTCCTGTACTGTACTTGTCTTACTGTCTCTTTAATATTTCTTTCATTCCCCGTGCAATATGTCCAGAGCAAGTGTAAAATACCACACCCAGTGAAAGAAAGTGAAACCAGAAAATCTGGTTTCAACACTGCTGTGTTTTACATATTGCTTACATCAAAAAAAATGTATTGTAATACTGACTTTCCCTATCACTTTTATTCTCCCCCTTAAATTCGTAGATTTGTCATGCCACAAACTCATGACACACTACTTCTGCTTTTTAATGTTTTTATGTAGTTTCTCTGTTTAAATAAGTGTCTATAGTTCATGCGGGGAGTACAACATGACTTGTCAGATTTGCTAAGCTGTGATTTCCAACATCCTTAATCAGAGCTAAGAATTAAACTTTAGTATGATGAAAATAATTACAATGCATTTTCAGTGTTTTGTTTTTTTTAAATAAATTTATAGGTGGTGCTAACTTAAAATTTCATTTAAATTTACCTTCATAATAGGTGATCAATAATGGAAATAGAGTAAGCTCTATAGATATACTTTAGCAGCACAGCTTACTACTACTACTAACTGAATACACAAGGATTTATCATAAATGCCATCTATAATATCTTCATTTTTAAAATATTTTAAAAATATATTCTCTATCAAACCAGAACACATTGGCTTGCCCTCACCAGAACCAATGTACACAGATAATAATAGAACAAGATTTAGCTATGTTGCTAAAATGCTTCGACCATAATTTGATATTATTTTGTGTATGTTTTTATTATTTTAATATTTTTCCATTGTTGTAATTGTTTTATAACTTTAGAAATGTCAGCCACCCAAGGTCACTTGTTTGAGTTTTGTGGCTATAAAAATTGAAGGACTGGAGTGAATGAGTGGATGGATGGATGAATGAACAAATGCTGCATGAAAATCATAATAGAGGATAATGTAAAGTATCATAAACCACTGATTATGTGTCCCAAATTCACAGGAACAGATGAGTAGATCAAGTTGTTATTAGGATAACCACCTGTAAATAATTGGGAAAAGCAAAGAAAATGTCCACCATAAATTATCCTGAATTATTTAATCACTTTAAAAATGGTTAGGGATAATAGGGCAAATATTTTTTTAGAAACTCCTACATACAATCTTAAGATTTTTTCTTTCTTTCTAGGTCTGTGTTCCAGACTTACTATTTTATTTTTGTCCGTTAATAGAAGCAATAGAGCAATAGAGCAACTTTTCCAGCTAACTCTTCTAAATAGTTTTAAAAGGAACAGCTGACACTAATAAGTCCAAATTCCTTGGAGTGATCTTTCACTCAGATGTTAAAGTAAAATAAGTTTATATTAGAATATTCATCTATTTAAGCTAGTTTTATGTCTGAATTATTTCTGTGCATATTCCATATTATAAGATTTGTCATATTCTAACTTGTGGGATTTCTTTCTTCCTTTTTATTTTCGTTTTCTTGTACCTTGGTTGTATTATTAATAGTTAAGGGACTTTCTGGCATCAAGAATTCATCCATAAGAGCATACACTTATAATAAATATAACAGGCCTTTAATGAGTGTGCCCTAAATGGCACATACAGTGTGTGTGTGAGAGAGAGTACATAACTACATTTTACCTTTTTTTCCTTTTTTCTTTTGCTTTCTTGGTTGTTGAAGGAAACTTTCAACCTTGATGGTTGCAAATTTAAAGTGAAAAGAGATACCACTAGAATCTTGGGACTTTGTACGTATAGACCTATTTGGACCACATCTTTTTCAAACATGAGCAAAATGTGCATTTAGAAGGAGTAGTAAACTGAAACACTGTGTCTTAATCTATGTGGATTTTCTGAGCTAATGCATTGATAAAACATGATAGTTTCATGTACATATAAATGTGCTTGAATAGCACCAGTGTATATAAATTATCATTTTTCCTTATTGCAGGACTCTTTGCTAACTAAAACATATTTAATGACTGAGTGTTCTGCTTTGTAAGTATGGATGTGGGGTGGGAGATTGTTTTGTGTAAGAATAATCATTTTGCTTATGGAATTCATCTTTCAACATGTGACTTTATGACATCTCATTTTAGAACACTTGCCAACTTCTGATTCTAATCTGAGCATTAGACTCCTTACAATACTGTGGGTGGCATTACTGTATGTTGTTAATAGTTATATTTTAACATTGCCCTCTTTAGTACTATATATACCTTTGGTTGTATAAAAGGATTTAACCTGATATTGAGCACTGTTGTGAAATCATAAAGCACTTTAGTAAAGAAAGATGTAAATATGAACTTTTATTCAAAAGTTCAAAAATTACTCAATCCCAATTTCCATGGAATTGATTTTGGGGTTATGTTTGGTTTTAGATGAAATCATGCATCAGGATATTGTTCCCCTCTGTGCTGAAGATATTGAAGATGAGTTAAGAAAAAAGTTTGCATATCTTTCAGGTAAGAATTAGAAAAATTCTACTGGACTTTCTTCTAATAAGTATATGTAAGATCATCTCTTTTCCTAGTAATCATCCTATTTGTTTAATTCCTTTAATAAAATGTATTAAAATATCAAGACTGAAATAGTGGGTGGAAATCCAATCAATGAAATTTCTACAATGATTTTTCACAAAAATTAATATTCTTCTAGATGCTATCTTGGGTGTGGGAATTAAAGATTATAACCTCACTAAGTGACATTTTGAAGTCCTTTTATTATACGCCATCCTTCCCAACCTGAGCATCCTATATATGAGGAATGTAACAGGACTTAAATTTAATTTTCAACCATCCTGGTTAGGGAAAGTGCTTTTGAGTCCACCAGGAGCCCCAAATTATCACCTCATTTAGATGGAGAATCTTTGGGACCAGAAGTAAGATCTATATATAACAATTTTGTCTTATGAGGGTTAAAGTTGTTCTTTTCCTTATGGATCCAAAACTACAACAGCATCATTTTACAACCAGGGGTCAAAATATGCCAATGTTAAAGTCAGCATGGAGAGCCAGTTTTGTCTAATGATTAAGTCATCAGGCTAGAAACCAGGAGGTCGTAAGTTCCAGTCCTGCCTTAGGCATGGAGCCAAGCTGATGGTCAGTCTCTCTCAGCCCTAGGAATCTGACAATGGCAATCTATTTCTTGCAAGAAAAATGCAGCAACTGGTCCAGGCAATCACCAGAAGTCAAAAAGTGATTTGAAGGTGGACACATACAACATCAACATACTGATGATGCCTAATCCATGCTATCTTACCCAGAGACATCCGGTTGAACAGGAATGGGAAGAGCATGGAAATCTGAGGCACCTCTCACAAAGCAGAGTTTTGGGCTGGACCTCTTCCTTCTTGTCAATACTGAGTGGCATTGGCCAAGAAAAAAGCAGAATCAGTGCAACACTGTGCCTCCTGTTCCCAAACCCTGGAATCAGTCCAGAAGGATACCATGAAAGCTGCTGAGAGATCAAGAAGAACTGGACACTTGCATCATCCCATCCTGGTTTTGCTGGATTCCTGTGGTTATAATTCACCTTCAGTGCTCATCAGACCATAATATCCTTCTCTGTGTTTTTTCCATCTTTCCATTGTTTGTTTACTCTGCACACCTTTAATTATGGATATATTTATCCCATTTATTTTCTAGGGCAGGGATCCCCAACCTTTTTGACGCCGCGGCCCGGTACCGGCATCAGCTGGGCGCCG